GCCTATACTTCCTGCCTGGCCACTGGCCAATCAGGGTTTTATTTATTGGCCAATCAGAGCAACAGATTTGACATACAGACCATCCCACAGCACTTCCCAACATCCAAAACTTGTAAAAGATGTAACATCACCAACTGAAACCTCTGTCCCTCGCGTGCTCTTAGAGTCAGTCTTCTTCGGTAGTACTTGGTTAGCTAGACTTGCTTTTGCTGCTGCTCTTCCTTGCACGTTACTCATTCTGTTTGGCTTTTTATTTATCTGCTTATAGAGATATTATAATCATTCTATCAGAAAATCTAGGTGAAGGACTAACATATGTGCAATATGCATCTGGGTCCACTTACTCTTGGGATCCTCATCTCAATATCCCAAGCCTTGAGGGGACTTCTGAGGCACAGTGATCAAAAGCCAGGGACCACAACCAGTCTCCTTGACACCTAATTCACAGCCAGTGCCTTTGAAACGTGCTTAACTCCTTTAAGCCAAGTACAATTTTCAGAGTGGTTCAAAGGGATCTTTTCAGTTCCTACAGCCATACCTTTGACTATTTTACAGGGCAAGGCAACATCTTGGCTCCAAAGAAATCCCACGCCACAGTGAGTTAGAGATGAGAAAGAAAATAGGTTACTGCTGTTTGGCTATTCACTTCTGATTTCCTCTGTGTACATCTTCAGTATGGCCTGTGGGTTTGTGTTATTTTGGTATACATCCCAAGTGTCTTCCTGATTCTAATAAAAGAGTGCTGGTTTTGACAGTGTCCTGTGTGTCTGCCTTGCCATGGGATGGGCAGCTGACAGTTCAGGTAACTTACATAAGGGTAAAACTCCCAACTCTCCCCACCATCTTATCAGTCAGCTCATGATGCCGCTCTGGATGCTGCCACAACTGCCCCTTAGTTAAACATTTTAAGTTAAATCATCTGAACAAAAGACATTTGCAGACGTATTCTCACCAGAAGCCTTAGCATAGAACCCAGCTTCTTAAACCATAGGTCCCAACCCCCAAAGGGGTCATGAAACTTAATGTTAGGATCATGAAATGCTGGCAGCCATATCCAGGTCTCTGAACATACAATGGCCAAAACAATAATTCAAAATCAAACGTCTATGGAAGCTGTTTGTGGCAGTGCTCTCCCGTGCTGCATCACATGACATCACCTCAGTCTAGATTCTAAGCCACTTGTGCACGTCACATGGTGCATGCCATACAATGCCTCCACTCAAACTCAAGACTCTAGCATGTCTTGAATTGCCATGCTTTCCCTGTCTGCAACAGAGTTTTTTTGCTCTTATAGAAACATAATGATTTCATTACAGGGAATGACTTTTAATGTTTTCCACTGTCATTCTTCAGCAGGTGAGTATGAAATTAGTGTATCTTTGGATTATATCATTATGCTTATTTTAAAAGTTGCTGTTTGAGCTCCATGAAAAGACCATTAAATTAATTTTTGGCTTGAGTGTGGGACAGAAGCTCCAACAATTTCTGAAGTGACCCTAAACATTTTAATTGCTGTTTGTTTCTTTGCCATGAGACAGTTATTGTTCTGTCACTGAGGGTGACCTGAAACACAAGTTCCTTCTGCTTGGGCTCCTGAGTGTCAGGACTGCAAGGTGCATCAATGCGTGGTGGGAGCTTGTACTATAGAAAAGTGAAATGTATTACTTATAAGCTGGCTATAGGCTAATCATTTCTAGTTTACCTTTAATTACTGAAATAATGCTCTACTTAGGGTTGGTATATTCTGAAAATTCAATTATGATTTTAAATTTGTATAAAAATACGAATAACTAAATAATCCAGAAGAAAATAAATAAAAACATTAACAGTAGCTATATCTGAGTCTAAAATGATGCACTCCTCTTATGTGTCTTACAAATTCACATGACATATCTATAAGCGCCCTTAGACTTGAGAAAAGAGCAGATATTTTGTAACATTGCACATGCTAATCACATCTTCCTGCTTAAAACATCCTTTATTGTATTTATTGAGACAGTATCATCGACATGAGTTTTGAGTCCTGGGTAAACTTTTTCTCTGGAGCACTAGTCTGTGTCACCCTCTCCTGGAACAACTATCAGTTCATACCCACTGTCTGCTGGTCTGTGGTGCCACCAATAGAGAAAAGGAAAGGCATGATTCCCGCCTGCAAGTTCCTCTTCTTGTTTTAGGACTAGTAAGATGTAGAGCTACAGACTATGGCTTTGGGTGAGGAACAAACAGACCTTTCCATGTCTGTCACACTACAACGGCTTCCTCGTTCATGATTTCTCATTCTAAACACAACGGGCCCAGTAAGATCTTTCGGAGGATGAAGATGTAAAGGACGGTAATTTCTCTTCTATCAAACTGACCACTGATTTACTCAGATAACTTCTGTGCTGAGGGTACTTGCAGAGCTCGTGGCTTGAAGGAACCCTGTTGTTTCCTCTTCTATGGTCAGATTTGTAGTCTTGTGGTTTTTGAGTTTTGACAGTGTTCAAGTTAGGACCATGCCACCGAGAGGCATAGAGGCCGCTCTGAGACTGAGTGAAGTCTTGTTTTAACTGGCATATGACTGTTTTTATTTGGGTTTCTGTGGAATCTGGAAGCCTGCAACTCGTCCAGAATAAGGGCATTCCACAAATTCCATTTCATGAAAGCCACACCTCTTTCATATACTGTTTCAATTTCCTTCAGTGTAACTCAGCTTTTAGCAGACATTCCAGGGAAGGTGACGAAGGGAGGCATTTCAAGATAAGCAGAACGGAGAACTCTCGCCCTGCAAGTCCTCCTGGGTGTGGGCAAAGTACCAGACACAGAATTATAGCAGCAAGGCAAAGAAAAATCACAATATATTTAAACAGTTAAAATGTCAGGTCTGTTAAAGGGAATTCACAAAATCCCAGAATTACAAAATGGCATTTATACATATACTAGATGATCTAATACAAATAAGATTCACACTTCTTCAGCGACGTGTACTGTCTCACATAGTTTAAATAAAAACCAGGTTTTGTGCATGGTCAATTTTTTTTTCTTTTAAGGCAAAAATTTATTTGGAACTCAAACACTGTTGTTGTTGTTGTTGTAGCTTTAATTTCTTGGAATGGTCTCCTGTAGTCCAGGCTGTGCTCCAACTTGCTAGTAATTTTGGATTATCCTGAGCTCTAATCCTCTGCCTGGATTTGGTGAATGCTGGGATTCCAGGCTCATGCCACCAGGCCCAGTGGAACAGAAACAGCTGCAAAGTGAAATAGAGGAACGCATTTCCACATGTGGGCCTCTCTCTCTCTCTCTCTCTCTCTCTCTCTCTCTCTCTCTCTTTCTCAGCTAAGATAGTGTCTCTCCACATAGTCCTGGCTATCTGAGAACTCTCTCTGTCACTGGTTCTCAACATCTGGGTTGTGACCCTTCTCACAGGGTCACCTAGGACCATTGGAAAACACAGATATTTACATTACGATTCATAGCAGTAGCAAAACTACAGTTATGTGGTAGCAATGAAAATATTTTTTATGGTGGTGGTGGGGGGGTCTCCATGACATGAGGAACTATTAAAGGGTCACAGCATTAGGAAGGTTGAGAACCACTGATCTATGATCTGGTGATCCGCTCAAACTCACAGTTTTCTTTTAGTTTTTACCTGCCTCGGCCTCCCATGTGCTGTGATTAAAGGCCTGTTCCACCACACACGGCCCCAGGGCCAGTCTCTTCTAAGTAGAGGTAAGGGACACACTCCTAAGTGAACATCAAACCCACAGAGGGAACTCAGGACTTTCTGATGTCCAGTTGGTTTGTTAAAGAGCAATGAGGTTGTATTCTGTTCCCTGTCACACCTTTACTTTATGGGATCGATGACAGGATGCTTTGTGCTACTAGCCCTTCCCTGAGTGTGACTGAACGGGACCGCTGTGAGTGCACTAATCTGGGGGCATAAACCCCATAAGAGCTGAAGTAACTTGGATGCTTTTGCTTGGGAAGGAAAGTGTTCTTTAAGCCTATGAAGGACGCAGTGAAGAAGGAACACAAGAAAATGAGCTTGCACTGTCATAACGTGGAAGGGAAGGGGGGGTGTCCTGACTACACTGAATCTTATGATTCTGCTGGGTTTTGTGAGATTTCGCTGGGGGTGTTTAAAAACCAGGGGGACTAGTGACATCGAGCTTCTTCGTAGTTGTTGACAAGGTGTACATCTTTTGAAAACTATCTGTTTAGGTCACATGCCCATTTGCCAAATAGATCATGTGCAGTTGTGGTGTTTGCGTTTCTTACTCGTTCCGGTGTTGGCCAGTATTTTCTCCCATCCTTCACTCCGCTGACTGCTTTCTTTTCTCTGCAAAGTATTTTTAGTCTGATAGAATTCAAATGAGTTTCCTATCTTACAGTTAAGTTTCTAACACATTTTGAGTTTTTTGTTTTATTTTGTTTTGTTTTAAATATGGTGAGAGATATGTCCACCTTTATTCTTCTGCTCATGGACACCCGATTTGGTCAGTACTATTTATGTAGGAAACTATCCTTTCTTCGACACATGATTGTAGCATCTTTGCTGCAGGTCAGCTCATTAGAGATCTGTAGGTTCCCTTCCTGGCCACTCTGTTTTGTTCCTTTGATCTATGGGTATCTGTTTTCATGCAAATGCCATGCTACTTCGATCCCTATAGCTTTGTAATGTGTTTGCAGTTAGGTAGGATCACGCCTTCTGCTTTGCTCTTTTTGCTCAAAATGACTTTGGTCACCTGGGATTTGTTTTTGTTGTTACATATGAACTTTAGAGCATGCGTATCAATGAAACACTACCTTATGCCTGTTAAAAAGACTCTCTTCCAAAAGGCAAAAGTCACAAGTGTTTCAAGGATATAGAAAAAGAGGGCACTTACACACTGGTGGAAATGGAATTGGTGCACCCATATGGAAAACAGTATGAAGGTTCTTTAAAAAATTAAAAATGTAACTATCATATAATGCACAACACCATTACTAGTTGTAAATCCAAAAGAAATGAAATAAACCTGTTGAAGAGACAGCCTTATATTTATGTTTATTGCAGCATCATTCACAATGGCCAAGAAATAGAAACAATCTAGCCATCAACTGAAGGAGAGAATAGGAAGCAAATGGGCAGATGAATACTATTCAGCCATTACAAGGATGAACTCCGTTTCATTTCAGTAACATGAATAGAATGGGAGATTGTTATTTGAAAGTTGGGCACAGAAAGACAAATACTGTGGGTACTAAGTCATTCATAGGATTGAAAAGTGGATCACAGAGAATCTGACAACAGAAGAGTGGTTATCAGAGGCTGGGGATGGAATGATAGGGAGACACTGGTCAACAAATGTTAAGTTATATTCATATAGGAGAAAAGGAATCTGGCATTCTATTGCCTAGTGGCTGCAGATATGATAATGTGCTATGTGTGTATATATATTTTTTAAAGTTAAAAAGATGGATTTGACCACAGTTCTCATCACAAAGGAATGACAAGCATTTTAGGAGATAAATTACCTTGATTAGAGGGTTGCACGTGTATCAAAACCTCGTGTGTCACACCACTGATGCGTAGATTTTTTTTTATATGTTAACTAAAATAAAGATGTCAGGTGTGCTGCTGACTGGATCAAGATAAAAGCCTAAGTGTATGTTCCTATGACACTTCTGTCAAGGGAAAGCTCTCCACTGAAGTCAATGTGTCTTCATGTGCCTCTAACCCAAGGCTGGCTGCTGCTTAGAAAATCTGCATGGCGGCCAGGGCTCTTCTGCCAGTGCACTGTAAACACAGCAACAGAGCAAGATGCGTGCTTCCTGGGAGGACTTGTCTCCGACAAGTCCTGTTTGCATCCACACGACCAGCCTCTCCTCCTACAATTAATTATGTGAATACATAATGTGAATAACAATAATACTGTGAATTTATGAGGTGAAATCATTATCCCTTTCCAATATTTGTAATATTTTGAATTATCCAATATTTTAATCAACAGTGTCATAGTTCCCTACATTTTCATATTCACTTCAAAAACATAACTGATTTCCATATAATATTTTAAGAATTTTTGACAGGTACAAATAACTGCAGTGACAAAGTCTGGGTTTCTTATCCTGTGAAAATAAATGAGTGCCCAAGAGCAGTGGCACATCTGAGAGGTGGGGGATGGTAGATAGAAGGTTCCAAGTTAGCCTGACTAACCCGTGCAAGCTGTTCTGCATAGCGAGACCCCTTCTCGTCAAACTTTAATAAAAAGGCGGATCTTTAAAAATACATTTATCTGCATTGAAGGAACAGGACTTGTGTTACTTTCTGTATTTAATGTCCAGATAGTGGTCTGCAGACATATATGTAGGACGTATATTTCTTTAGTGAAATCAGTCCTCAAAGGGCTTGGACCCCTTGGGCTGTATTAGAAGAAACATGTGGGGATGATGGTTCTGATTCTGCGGTAACTCCCCTTCCGTGGCCGGTGTTTTCATCGGAAAATGGAGGGGACCGGGCTTGCCGTCAACTCTTGGTGCTGTCCTCAACCACTCTCCACTTTATTTTTAGACACAGCATCTCTCGCTGAACCTGGAGCTCACTAATTCAGCCAGGCTGGCTTACCAGAGCGTCCCAGAGCTCCTCGTGTCTCTGCTTTCACAGCAGTGAGACTGCTGTCCTGTAGCATCTCATCCGATTTTAAGTGGATGCTGAGGATCAAACTCGGGTCCTCATGCTCTCATGATAAGCACTCTATCGGCTGAGCTTTCTCTCCAGCCCCAGCATGCCTACTCTTAATGCTTTATATTGAACTTAGTCAATCAGCGTCTTCGTGTCCTTGGGCTGAAATAACAGAAATACTCACAACTGAGATACTTTAGAAACGTTGGGGTCTGTTGAAAAGATCACGTATTAAGTTAGAAATGGAGTTCAGAACCATGCTGTCATTAGAAATGATTTCTAAGAACACAGGCTGGATGACCCAGAGACCTAGGATAGAACCAAACACGACCGGAGGGGGAAAATGTCAATGTAATGATGGCTAACAATATTCTGTTATACTCATAGATCAGTGCCTAGCCCAACTGTCATCAGAGAGGCTTCCTCCATCAACTGATGGAGACAGATGCAGACCCACAGCCAAACATTAGGCGGAGTTCTGGGAATCCTGCAGAAGAAAGGGAGACAGGATTGTAGGAACCAGAGGGGTCAAGGACACCACAAGAAAACCCACAGAATCAACTAACTTGGGTTCACAGAGACTGAACTGACAACCAGGGAGCCTGCATGGGACTGACCTAGGCCCTCTGCATATATGTGATAGTTGTGTAGCTTGGTCCTCTGGTGAGACTCTGACTCTTTTATAGGCCTTTGGGACCCTATTCTTCATACTGGGTCGCCTTGCCCAGTCTTAACATAAGAAGAGGTGTTTAGTCTGACTGCAACTTGATATGCCATGCTTTGTTGAGATCCTTGGGAGACCTGCACCTTCCTAAACAGAAACAGAGGAGGAGTAGATAGGGGGCAGGGGGGCCCCCCTGGCCCCTGAAGAGGGATGGGGGATGGGACTGAGAGGAGAGGAGGGAGGGGAAACTGCAGCTGGGATGTAAAATAAATAAATTTAAAAAAAAAGAACATGCAAAGAGAATCTGCTTACATTCCCATCATAATAATGAGTAAGTTATTGAAATAACAACTGGAAGTAATTTTCTCCTTCAAAATAATTACTTCTTTAATGACTGATGACTATTGACACTCAGACTGTGTCTATTTTATGTTACTTGATTAGAAAAGGTTGATAATAATTCTATAGTATCAGGTTTGTCTATGTTTTAAAATGTTGCCTTAAAATGCTTAGCCAATACTGCTTATATAAGGAGGATTTGCAGGAAACTTTTGAGATTAAAACGATCTAGTAAAATACTAAAAGGTGTTGTTTCCAAATATTAATTCTCAATAAAAATATACAATTACATTTCAGTAATTGTATCTTTTAGTATCTATAGACCTACTTGATATGTTCTCTTCTAGAATTATGATAGCATTTACTTTACCTTTCTGGCCATGTTTTCTCTCTAAAGTACAAAACTGTGATGACTTTATACTCAAATACATATTGAAATGCCATACATCCATATCTCCCACTTCTTGGTTATTTTGAATGTCCAGTGGTTATTTTAGGTGGCCATGGGAATATATTTTATTCCTAACTATACCATTATTGCAAATGTTAACTGTAGAAACACATTTTGTTTTAAAGCAGGAATTTAGAAAAGTAAAGATTTCTTCTCTAAGAATTCAGCCAGCAGATGCTTTGATAGCAAATGAGTACCCAATGTGCCAGGGAAAGTAGTTTTTGATGTGGAGCCAGAGAACGACTGTCCAGGATAGCTCACTCAGGTTTAAAAAGCGATCATATGTTTTGTTTTCACCCAGATTAAAAAAAAATCACACTGAAGAAGCATGGTAGCAGATGTTTGAACTGTTAGGAAGGGCTGAGACAGTACGATCAGATATGAGGCTAGCCTCAGCTATCTAGTAAGATGCTATCACATATACATCCAAAAAAATGTCACTTAGAACAAAGAGGTAAGAAGTCATAGCAGATAAGCAGGAGGAAGTTCCAGGGGTTAACAGGCAGTGGGAAAGAGAAAAACAGCCAGGGACCTAACCCTAGAAAGCCTCCAGCGTGGTGCTGAGATGTCTGTCACGTGGCCTGTCCTCCCCTTCATCCGCGTCATCCCTGAATGAAGGATGAGGACTGAACCATATTGTCAGCCCCTGTGAGGGGTCAGCCTCTCACAGTCCATCTGCCAGGAAGAGATTGATGTATTGGCAGAAGGTGACTCCGCAGATCAGATCGGCAGATGAACTCCATGTCCTGAGCAAGCCTTGTAGATTCAAGGCTTCTGAGCGGCCTCTTCAAGATGCTTTCCCGGGATTGCTCGGCCGAGTCAGCAGAGGAGGATCTTCCTAAAATATACCGAGTAGGAAATGGCTGAGATATAAACTGCAAAGTGCTGCATGAGATAATTAGGGTCAGAAGTAACTAGTCAGGAATTCAAAAGGGTATAAATAGGCCCTTGATTAGAAGTGCATGATGAAGAGGACGCCAAATGGGACTCCAGACGCAGACACAAACCAGGCCCTGAGAAGTGCGACTAGTTTTTAAAGCGAAAAGGAAAAAGTTCAGCCATTAATTTCAACTTTACATAATCACATAGGAAACAATTAAATGAAACAAGACGACCTGCTTGCTCAGAAATTAATTTCTATGCAAATCTTGAACCCTAAATTTGTTGCTAATCCTACTTGAGTTTAATCACCGCACACATTTAACTATGTTTTCTAAATGCCACTGTTTCAGAGTTTTCATAGCACATTTAGTCTTGATACAGGCATTATTATTCTTATGCTCCTCCTAACAAACAAAAAGAGGCACTCAAACCTAAACACAATCTTCCTCCCCGCCCCCCCCCCCTCTCTCTCTCTCTCTCTCTCTCACACACACACACACACACACACACACACACACACACACACACACACACACACATTTTGGGAAGCTAGTACATGCCCTAAAATAATCAAAATTGTACGCATCAGTTTGTCCCAGACCAATTGATCAGAGAATCCTGTAACAAACCTCTGGAACGTCTCCTGTGACCTAAGTGAGAATCCAGAAAATTATTAAGTGAGAGACGACAGCTGCTGTCGTGATTCTGTGACGTCACCAAGAGCCACAGGATCATGGAGTAATCATTTCCGAAAGAATCGTTTCCCCCTTGTAAGAGCCCTTTTGGTTGCTGTAACAAAATAGCGGAGCTATTAAAGTTGCAAGGAGGAGAGCTTCGTTTAGCTCATTTCTCAGAGGTTTCAGTCTATGGTTGTTTGGGGCCTGCAACGGCACAGGAGTACATCATGGCAGAGCACGAGAACTGTCCACCTTTATAGCGGTCAGGCTGTGGAGAAAGGAAGACAGGAAGGAGTAACTTTTGGTATTTTCAAGGACATGTCCCCTGAAATCTAATTTCCTTCTACTGGGCCCCTAGAGGTTCTAGCACCTCTCAGGAGGGCCACAGGCTGGCAGCCAAGCCTTCACCAGTAAGACATGTAAGCAGTCATCTCAGGATGTGGAAAAAAATGACCACAGGTTTAATGGAGACTCAAGCAGGTAGGGACTACTAAGCAAGTTTTCTTCTTTAGATAAAAACATACTTAATATTATACTTAATAAATACTTAGTATTTTCATATATAATACGTATGTGTTTAAAGTATAATTAATAAATAGTTAGTATGTAATAAAGATGACCAATTCATTAAGCTGGCTTTGAGATAAAGACACAGCCAGTCAGCCATTGTTGAATGTGAGCAGTAAACACAGCACATCACAGCGCTACCATAGCAGATCACAGTCCAGGGAGAGAGGTGGGGGGTAGGAGGAGATCTGGTGTGGAAAAGAGTCCTAGGTCTGCGGAACAGACATGTGTCAGAGGGTGTGCACAGAGGGCAGTTTCATTTGTTTTAGTTTTATTAAATTTCGTTCTGTTTTTATTATCCATAATTTTCTTCAAAAGTTGTATGGACTTACTTCTTACCATGTCTGTGCGGTATCTGTGTCTGCGTGTGGGCACTTGCATGTGGATGCAGGTTCCCACAGAGATCAGAAGCAGCAGTTTACCCTGGAGCTAGAGTTGCAGGCAGCTATGAGCCTCTCAACATGAGTACTGGGAATCAAACTTGGGTTCTCCAGAAAAGCACTAAATGTTCCTCACTGCCGAGCCATCTCCACAGCCCTCAAGTTCTCTAAAGGCGAAAGGAAGAAAACAAACCTCACTGGGAATCATTTGGAAGGACAGATGACCTATGATGACATGTGTTATCAACACAGTTTCATTGCTCCAGGCCAGAGGAGAGTCTATGATCTCCAAGGACCTGAAGCCACAGCACAGTCTTTAATGATAGATGCTATAAAAAAAGGTCAGCTCCTGTGTGTGATCACAGCGCCTGGAGTAGGTACAGGAAGGCAGGCAGAGAGACGGACTACAGGAAGAGACCCAAGAGGCCATGCCACATGGCTCATCATCCAACAGTTTCCCAAAACCATACCACTACTTTGGATCCTCAACCCCTCTGAACATTCCCTGCAACTTCCTTTTCGAGAAGTTGGGATGTTTTCCCATTCTCCAAATCCTCCATGACCTTTTAAATTCAGAACATGATCTGTACAGTTGCATACTAAAATTTTCATTCTCAACACTTAAAAATGTAGAATTTTTTGGATCTTTCCCTTTCTCAAATACAGAGGAAATGTTTGTTCTTTGACACCCCCCACCACCACCAAAAAAAGAAAAGAAAAGAACAAGAAACAATTAGAAAGTGCGTATTAAATTTAACCCGTCATTTTGTGGGACTTCACTAGACAGGGATTGCTACTGTGTCATCCATGTCACTTTATTTTGACTTGCCCCTTAAAATCTATGCTATGGAATCATTTCTGAAGTAAATTTAACTGGTTGAACTTATTTAACTAGTTAACCTCTCCTTGAATGTAATATGAGATGAATGCAGCCAAAACTTAAACTGAATGTGACTTGAAAGCAGATCTCTTCGAGAGGACAGCCCCTAAATGAAGATATAGTTAAACTTTTTCATTGAATTATCAGAAGTGGCAAAATTTTTTCTTTGTTCTCCTTCTGTTTAAGACACTCAAGTTCCTTTCTTTTTTTTTTTTCTTCGTTTTTCAAGACAGAGCTTCTCTGGGTAGTTTTGGTGCCTGTCCTGGATCTCGCTCTGTAGACCAGGCTGGCCTCGAACTCACAGAGATCCGTGTGGCTCTGCCTCCCGAGTGGTGGGATCAAAGGCATGCACCACCGCTACCCAGCCTCAAGTTTCTTTATAATGGCACCCCACTGTGTTTCAAAGATCGGTTAAGGCAGAGCAAATCACATCCTTATATAAAAGAGGGAAAAATAATAAAGGACTGTCACCAAGTGTTGAGATAGATTCTTATGGTTGGCACTCTGAATGGCTCTGCGCTTTAGTGTGGCCGTCCCACTTTGTGGAGAGGCAAAAACACAGGATCGAGCACCACACTTCACTATTTGCCTTGGTTAAAGGGGCAAAACAGATTTCTTCCTACCAGAGGAGGGATTGTTGAGTCATGTTAGCAATGCATGGAATACTACATAGTAAAAAAAGAAGAAGAAGAGTTTCACTCCCGTATACTGACCTGGAAAGACTTCTAAGATAAAGAATGAGTGCAAAAAATCTTGCTGCTTGCTAATATACAAAGCTGGGACCACTCACTAGCCACAGACTTGCATCTGTCCATATACTTGCGTATTCCTGTGTGTAATAAGTGCGTGTAATATATGTGTGTGATAAGTGGGCAAAGGCTTGAAGGCGTGCACCGCAGAGGAGGGGGACTGAGTTGGAGGGAAAGGTGAGGAGGCAGTGAAGAAGAATTTGTTACTTCGTTTGCTTTTACATTACTTACAGCTTTCTATGCTGAAACCTTTTAAAAATAATTAAATACACATAACCACATAACCAGTATCAATTGTTAACTAGAGAAAAGAGTAACTTCAAGCAGGTAGATAAAAAACCCACAGGGTGTGCGAGCATACATTAGAGAAAGGGTGGAAGTCTCCTTGGGAAGGCTGGGACTGCCTCAGCGCCAGCCTCCTCGCTCTTTCCTTGGTATCAAATGCAACATTTTCAAACTCCAAATTGTGTAGGCCCAAAGCACAGCTTCTCTGGTTGGTGTGCACTGCACTGCGACTTTACACGACACAGGCTGGATCGTTTCATTCTGTGTGTCAAGTGCGTCAGTTAAAAAGCATAAGACACATGCATTTTACCTGAGATATATCACCCTGACGAGGTCCCAGAACAAATAGGTTGCAGACTGTCAAGTTTTCTAAGCACTTAAGAGTCCTGAACATTGTGATGCGCCTCACGTGTTGTAGACATACATGACACAGACCGTCAAATGCACAGCCCTATCTTGCTTTTGTTAAATTTTTGACAAGCAATTTTTAGTCAGTAATGCTTGTTCATTGGCATAATACAAAAAGGACTTTTAAGTACTATTCACTCAACACTGTTAGGATTAAATATGTTCGTGTAAGTCTATAACTTCTCAGAATTATTAGAGTTAATATACAACACAAGTAACTAAAACATAATAACAGTGTAAACTGTGAGAATTTTCGTCCTGTGTATTCATGTTTGCCTAGTTCTCAGTTCCCTCCTTTCCTCCCATTCTTTTTCCTTTTTTTCTCTCCTGTCTTTTCTTCCTGATTGCTTTCCATAAACATACATTATATATTATGTGTCACTCAATGTACTGGGCACTGGAACCAAGGCTGAGTGTGACAGAGTTCCCTGCTCCATGTGAGTGTGCACTGTAGAAGGGAAGACACGTATGTAAACAAGGGAATCTGAATAAAACAGTGTCATAAATAAACTTGCATGAGAAATGAAATAACACTCGTTGGGCATCTCCCATATGCCAAACGTCAAACACCACAGGGGACAGTTTAGGCACATCATGCATACAACTCACAGTCAGCTCTCTCTCTCTCTCTCTCTCTCTCTCTCTCTCTCTCTCTCTCTCTCTCTCTCTCTCTCTCTCTCTCTCACACACACACACACACACACACACACACACACACACACCTCTTCTAAGCTAGAAACACAAAGTTAAGTACTAAAACAATTCTGGAGCACCTAACACATAATCAGCAAAGTGATCAAGGTCTTTAGGGCGTTACATTATAAACTCAGCCAAATTAATTGACTCCCAGATACCTGCTCTAGAACTGGATCCCAAATCTTGGTACCCACTATCTAAGCCCACTTTTAGAAAAAAAAAAGAAAGGGGGGGCTGGGGAAGGCCATCACAATGAAACACAGTGCTTGTCTTAAAAACTGAGTACTAAACTTCAAGCCTAAGCAGACAGCAAT